CCCCAAAACCCCAAAACCCCATATGGATCGATAGCTGAATCAAAATTTGGTCAAAATGTTAATTGACGCTTGATTATTAATAGCCCCTGATTTATAATATTATTTTCGAGTTTAATGAACTATTAAGGAGGTTACAGATCATTCTAAGGAAGAGGTGGAAGAGGCAATGATTACTCTCATAATTGATAACTGGGTTTAATAGACTACAACAGACTTAGGTACAACTGAGGGAAAAGCTATAGGAATAGACAGTTTATGAACAGCTTTGAAAATGAGTTCAATAGAGGATTCAGGCCAAAGTATTAATTTAACAATGCTTTTTCGAGAAAGAAAAATGGAAATCCTGGGTACGATGGACCTAGATGACCCAGTGAAGGATTTAAAAACTGGAATAATGCATTGAGCAAGAATTTCAGACCTGATTTTAGGATAATATACAGAAAGATATGCTTCAACACAATTTAGGAAACAAATAGACAGGATTAGATTCTTAGAATGATAATATAGAATAAGGAACATTTGAAGTAAGATTCATCTCATCAATATATGTATATAGCACTGAAAATATTGTAGCAATGGATGTAGAATATGGAGGAGGCAGGACAGTACCTAGAATAGCAGTTGTTAACTTCAACGAGGAATGTGTATACTACTCTGATTTCTGTTTGAGATATGAGGACTGGGTAGAAACAAAAATCACTGAGGACATTGAACATTCTCGAAAGTAAGATTAGAGAGAGAAGAAAATATACTTCTCTGATAAAAAGAAAGATAGCTAAGAAGATGCAATAACTACAATTCTAAAATCCCAAGATAAGATAGACGAGGCAGCTGCTGAAGTTGAAGAGGATAATGAAGATGATGAGGAATGTGGACAGTCGGAAGGAGATGAGATGGAAATGAACGAAGAGGATTTGGATGATGAGGAATTAAAAGATATGGATGTTTTGAGTGATGACGAAGATTAAATAGAAGAGGAGATTTTTAGACAACACAAGGAATTTGATGAGAAAATGATTGATGATGACTTTAAAGACTCTGAGGAGTAATTAAAGAAAGATTTGATTGAGCAAGAATTAGGTGATATTAAAAAGAATTAGAAGGATAGTCCTTATAAGTCTGATTCTGAGTAAAAAATAAAGAAGTTTTTAGATGCTGATGAAAGCAAGCCAAAAAATACAGCCTAATCTAGACCATTCATGTCATAAAAAGCCCAGATATCATCATAATCTTAAAGTAAGTATAAGAGAAAGAGTAGGCTCCAGATGATGGAAGAGTAATTAGATAAGTAAAGACATAGGGATGAGTATCTTTTCAACTAAAATAAAAACCCTATGAAGTAGAGATAGAATATAAATTTCAATCATAACGAGGATAATATAAACGGAGTGTTTGAGTTGAATCCAGATGAACTTATGAGTGAAACAGAATAGCACTCTCAGGATGATAAGGATACTGATAATAGCAGTGAAAATGACAATGTAAAAGATCATGACTAGCAGCATATTCCAAATGTGATAAGGTACTCAACTAACACTGAGGATTTGATAGAGGATCATACAGGTGTAAAAAGAAAGCCATTCAAACTAATGCACAGAGAGCTCAAAGAAATCCTGAAGGGAAAGATAGTTATAATGCATAACCTTAACAAGGATTTTTCATACTTAAGACTCACTAGACATGATTGCCTGAGAACTGTGGACACATCGCTGCTTAAAATGTTCTAAAGAAAGAATTTGAAGAGGAAACTTAGAGATTTGGTCTTGGAATTCTTAGATGAAAAAATTCAAAAGACAATAAATCACAGTCCTGTAAGATAATATAATGATTTAAAGTATACAGATTGAGGATGCTTGAGCATGTATAAGACTGTTTAAGGTATTTACAAGAGAACTAAATATCTATCCAGTTCGAATGATGTACAACTGCCTTTATGGAAGCAAAGAAGCAAGATTTAAGTAAGATTTGATTTATTAGTTGTAACTTTGTTTATGCTATAGAGATCCTCCCGACATTAAAAACATTGATGATGTGATGGGACCCAACACTGAAGTATTCAAAGTTAACAACGATACACCTGGAGAGTAATAAACTCATTATTATCAATTATTATAGTCCAAATGAATCTCAATATGTTGCTCTAGCTTATAATTGGGTAGTGAATGAGGCAGATGAAAGAGAGATCATTAGAGTATCAGTCATCAATGAAAAAGGGCACACTCTATTCGACTCAATTGTATAACCTACCAGACTAATTAAATATGTGCCATTGTTCAACCTTTACCTCTATGATCCCTCATTTGGAATTCCTTTGAAATATCTCGTAGAGATGCTTAATGTAGTCTTAGATAAAAAGATAGTAGTGGGTTACCAACTAAACAAGCTATTCAAGGGTCTAAGCTTGTCAAATGTCTATACTGTTAGAGACATAGTTGTGAATGATACAATAGGGATAAACTCTTCTTATAATTTGGCTAAGACATTCTTTGATTTTAGCATGGATAAGTTTTTCAGGTCCACTATTACTGAAGCGAGACTATACTTGTCACTCTACAAGTGCTTTTAAAATGAAATCGATGATTACTATTTAAAGTATTCTATCGCTGAAGATATGGAACAGTTTTTATAATAGGATGAAGACTATGTAGGACCACAAGTTGATTTATAGGTTGAAGAAGAGCTAGAAGGCTTTAGAGATTAAATATTTGAAAATGAGATAGAAAGCAGCAATTATTAATTGGATGAAGGTCAACCTCAAATTGGAATTTGATAAAATAATAATTTCCTAATTAATTTTATTTCAATTTTTCTCTATCAAGTAAATTCGGGGTTTTGGGGTTTTGGGG